CGGCCTCAGCAGGCAGCAAGGGTCCGGGGACACTGGGGAAGGAGTCTGGGGAAGTCTGTCAGGGCCATCGTCTCTGGGGCAGGAGCCAGTGAGGGGGAGCTGGGACTGACCCAGGGCTGGGAGTGGTGATTGAGAGCTCTGTACACCCAAAAGGTGGATGAGCCAGATATTTCATGCATGCCTGTGATCCCAGCACTCTGGGAGGCTGACTCAGTAGGATTCAAGTTCAGCCCAACCTGGACAACTCAGAGGCTTAGCAAGACCCCACCTTAAAGTAAAAAAAAAAATTTAAGAAAAGTTTTAAAAAAGGCTGGGGATGCAGTTCAGTGCAAGGGTTCCATCTCCCAGTACCAGGTAAAAATCCCATGAAAGATGGAGGAGGATTCAAGGAGGAGGGGGAAGCATCTTCAGTGGAGACTGCTGAGACCCCTGGACTCAGGTCCAATGTGCTGAAGTCCCCAGATCTTAGCACCACACCATGGTCCTTGTCATCACTGGTATTCCTGGACCACCGCGCTGGCTCTACCGGGGATGAAAGCATTTCCATGTTGTCTGGCAGCTGGTCACTGCCCACAGTCTCTGTCCTGAGAGGCCTCTCCCACCTTGGCCACCTGCCTCCCCAGGGCCCCCAGTCCTCCCAAAAAGCAGCAACAGAAAGGCTCTGTCTGGCACAGCAGGGGTGCACTGGGTCCCCCCCAGGGCTCAGGGCCACAGGGCCACAGGGCAGCTGCCATTAAGGCTGCTCAAAGTAAGTGCTACATTCTTAGTTGCTTCCATGGATCACAGCCTTGAAAACTGTTTCTTTATCCAGTCAAAGGATCAGGATTGAAAAAAGTATTTTCCCTCATGCCTGAAGCCTACAAGCTCGTATTACTGGAGCTTAAACATTGTGGGAGTTCTCAGTTATCATCCAGTGCAGAAGAATTAACTCCAGGCATTGGAACTTAGCATACATCCTAATGTTCTCACCATGGCAACAGGGCTCACCTCCCTCTGCTTCTCACACCTCCACCCCCCCCCCTTGGATACTGAGCTATAGAGTTATAGCTTTTGATTCCTTTTGCTTTTCTTAAATAAGCTCCCTTTGCCCTGGGGCCTTTGCACCAGCCCACCCTCCTCTTCTGGAATGATTTACTTGTCTACATCTTCTTAACCACCCAGAGGCTTCCCTGACCACAGTGTCTGAGGCAGCTCATTCCTCCTGCCTGGCTGTTCTGTGTCATTATTGCTCAGTTTTCTTTATAACACTTGACACTAGATGAAATGGCTTTGTTTGGAGTTACTCACCACTGTTGCTGTTAACGTTTGGTGGTGCTGGAGGCTGAGCCCAGGGTTTCACGCTGCTTACCAAGTACTGCCTCTCGTCTCCAGCTGTTTATTCACTTCCTCTAGAATCCAAGCTCCAGAAGGAAGCTGCGAAGCTTTGATTCTTCTTGTCTACTAAACCCAACATCTGGAGCGGCTGTGTGTTTTGCAGCTTAGCTCCTGGTACAATAAGGATTAGTGCTAATTGGGAAAAGAGAGCCCTTCCTCTGAGTGTCTACTGTCACCTACTGCAAGTTTTCCAAAGCCACCAGGCCAGCCTGCCCTGCCCGTGCCTTGCCCAGCCCGTCCCCTCCTCTGCCACTAAATGCTTGCTGAAGGAACCAGGGGGCGCTGGAATTCCAAGGGCCAAGAGCTCTAAGGCAAAGGTGAAACTGCGCCTCCTGAACATTAAGTGGGTTGTCTGTCCGTTGTTTTCACGACGTTGGCCACAGACTCATCTATCAAGGACAATTTGCCCAGCATCCCTCATAGTGTTGGCTGGCTGAGGACCAGCAGCCATGTGGGTGAGCTGTGGGGCACAGGGTTGTCAATACTGAAATATAATTCAGCCCAGGGAGTTCCGGGAGACAGAGCACCTACGGGGCCCAGAGGAGTCACAGCTTCTGGGGAGGAGGAGCTTCAGTCCAGAGGAGTCGCAGCTTCTGGGGAGGGTGACCACAGCAGACCCCAAGGAGGGAAAGACCTCGTGCTGTAAGGTGAGAGTCCAGCTGGTGACCCAGGAGACCCAGGCTCCAAGCCCTGGTGTGCTCAGCAGCCTTGAAGTAGTAGCCAAGCTCAGACTCCCGCCTCCCATTTCCATGAGGTGTGCGGGATCCGTCTGGGATTCCCTGTTCTTCTCCTCTCCGCTTGCTTCCATGCAGCCTTTCCTGCCACGTTTTCAGTTTTGTTCCCTCCATCATTCTTTCTGCTCTGTTGTGAAGACAAACACAATCTCTTCTTGGATTCTTCCATTTCTCTCTCAGCCTCCTTGATCCAGGACTGTGCCTACCCTCTAGAATCTCTGTTATGGCTTAGATGGAAAATGTTCCCCAAAGTCTCATGTATTCAGAAGTGAAGTTTTTGGAAGGTGAATGGGTCATGGGGGAGGGGCACACTATTCATTCATGGATAATCCATGCACGAGTTCATAGTTGAATGTGCTGTTAGGAACGTGGCCTGGTTGGAGGTGGGTCACTTGCGATAGGAACTGGATATGTTCTTGTCCCCAGCCTGTCCCTTCTCTCTTTGCTTCCTGGCTGCCATGGTTGAGCACTCTTCCTCTGCCTGGTCCTTACACTATGCTGTGACTGCATGGGAGCCAGTGAACCATGGACTGAGTCCCCTGAATCATAAGCAAGCTAAACCTCTCCTCCCGTCACAGTGGGGATGATGGTCCTCCAGCCTCACCCATGGGAGCATTGGCGACTCTAGTCTCCATCACGAGAGCCAAGGCAGAGTCCTCTTTGGAGTGTAGTGAGGGCAGAAACAGGGGCCCAGTACTCTCGCATTACTTCTTTTGGCCTCGTCACACTTAATCTTTTCAACCACAATTATTAACCTATTTTACAGGAGAAAATTGAGGCCGGGAGAGATCAAATCATCTTCTCGAGACCTCAAAGCCAATAGTGCCCGTGCTTCCTCCGCCATCTGTCTTCTGCTTTGCACCCTTCTCTGTGACTTCAGTGCGAACACACCCTTCCCCAGGACAGCCTTCCCCAAACATCTCGTCCTGCACACTTCCTCATGCCTGGATGCCTGTCTGCCATGGCACGTGTCATAGCTGTAACTGCATATTTCTTTTTGGGGTCAAAGTCTACCATTGGCCTGCACGTTCCTGAGAAGAAAGTGTGTGCATCCACATCTCCCAGCTGTCTTCACGGTGAGTGAACCAGCATCTGAGATGCACCAAGTCTCTGAGTATTTGCTGGATAGAAGAGCAAGCAGCTGGACCGCCAACCCTGTTCTCAAAAGCCTAAGTTCTGTGCAGGGAGCTGGCATCCTCAGGAGGGCAGGACGGGATGCAGGCTGTTCTGGCTTCGGGAGTGACCACTTGCCACAGGTCTCAGGGGTTAGGATGAGGGTCCCTTTCGGATGTTGGTGGTGGTGCCCCGTATGAGGAGGGGTGGCAGGAGAAAGAGCTTCGTGAAAAGGCAATGGTGCAGTGATGACATTTCTCTCGTGTGCTGGCCACAGATCCGGGCTTTCAGGTCACTACCTGGAGCTGTCCAGTGGGGAAAGACGTGGTCACGGCTACATTTCAGAACAGCACTGTGTGTAGCTGAGCGGAGGCTGCAGAGATCACAGCAGAGCCTGGAGGGTACAATGTCACATAACACAGCCTGGAGGAGCCACTGTCCTGGGCAGGGAGTGAGGTGGAAAGGAACCGGCAGGCCCCAAGAGGTAAAGGGAAGGAGGGCAGTGTCAGGGTCGGTGCCAGGCACCTGGACAGGTGGCTTGCCTTGTCCAACTGCAGAAATGGGCTCCAGGGGTAGGGATGGTCTGGGTGGAGCAGCTCAGACTGAGGAGCGGGTGCACCTGCAGGTGCTGATCTAGGTCTCAGGGGGAAGAAGGGTGCGAGTGGTCTGGGTGGAGGCAGAGAGACCAGGGAGGGGGTGGGAAACTCCAGCTGGACAGGAGACGCAGGTGAGGGGGTCAGGGCTGGAGCTGTGGGGTGCTGCTCTGACTTCTGTCTTCACCCATCAGCAGCAGCCCGGACTGTGGACCAGTGAGACTTGTCACCTGGGAGTGGTCTGAGAGCTGGGGAGCCCCTAGGATTCTCTCCTCACTCTTTCCCCATTCTTCTTCTTTTTTTTTTTTAATTGGTACTGGGGATCAAACTCACAACCATGCACTTGCAAGGCAGGTGCTTATGCCGCTGAGCCCCTTGGCCCGAACTGAGGCTGAGTTTCCTCTTTTGTGAAATCCTGAGGTATTTATGTATCCTGTTCACGGTTTAAAGAGAGGAAGAATGTGACAGCATCCCGAAAGGAGAAAACTTTCAGCTCCGAGTTTCCTTCCCTCTTTTTATCTTTTCTTTTTCTTCTCTTTTTCCCTCAAGCAGTGTAGATTGAACCCAGGGCCTTAGTACTGAGCTGCCTCTCCAGACCATTTTTTACTTTGGCACTGGGAGGAGGCTGGAGCGAAGGGCTCGTGGGGAAAGGGTCATCTCTGGAGGGGTCAGGGACGCCAGTGTCAGGGTGGGCGTGAGTGAGAGGAGGCGGGGAGGATGGGGAGACACGGGCTTCAGGAGAGCTCCACACCTGAGGAGCAGGCAGCGTCGCAGGCTGTGGAGGAAGAACCCAGGGAATTTGGGCGGGCTCTCAGAGGGGCAGAGGCAGGAACGAAGCCCGGCTTGGGGCCCAGGTCTGTGCAAAATCCCAGCGCCTCCAAAGCTCTCCAGTCTGGAAGCCGGTGCTTCCAATCCCTCCCCCACCTCTCTGCTTCCAACCGGGATTCGGGTCACCGGCATGGGCCCGGCCACGCGCGCCTGTTACCATCCCGGGACGCCAGGGTGAGGGTCTGCCTCCTGCGGACCTGTGGCTCAGATCCAGCGCTCTGGGGGGTGCCGCGCTGAGCGGGGGCACAGGTGGGGCGTGCGGGCGTGCGGGGCAGCGCGGGCGAGCGGAGGGGGTGGCGCGCAGGCGGGGAGCAGCCGGGGACAGCAGCAACCTCCCCAGGCGCGCTCGGCAGCGGCTGCGGCTCACTCTTCCGCACTCTGGCTCCGAACCAGACACAGCCCGGGACCCCCCCGCCGCTTCCCGCCGGGACTGGAGGGGCTCACGGCCACTGCTCCGCTCCGGCGCCCTGCGCAGCTCATGGTGAGCGCCCCGTGGGGCTTGGGAATTCTTGGCAGAGGGTCCCGGCGCACCCCTTGGGGTGCTCGATGGGGCCGCTCTGGGGGCTCAGGGCTGAAGTTGGTACCGCGCACATCCTGCCTGTGTCTCTGAACCTGACATGCTGCCGCCCGGGCACAACAGCACCACGCACCCGCTGTGGTTCGGTCTGCGGGCTCGGCTGGCACGGGAAGGCGCCGTGGGGGGCTCCGCGGGGGAGGTGCCGTTGGGACCCGCCCAGGTGGTCACCGCCGGCCTCCTGACTCTGCTCATCATGTGGACCCTGCTGGGCAATGTGCTGGTGTGTGCAGCCATTGTGCGCAGCCCCCACCTGCGCGCCAAGATGACCAATGTCTTCATCGTGTCCCTGGCCTTGTCTGACCTCTTTGTGGCACTGCTTGTCATGCCCTGGAAGGCGGTGGCCGAGGTGGCCGGTTACTGGCCCTTCGGGGCATTCTGTGACATCTGGGTGGCCTTCGACATCATGTGTTCTACAGCCTCCATCCTGAACCTGTGTGTCATCAGTGTGGACCGCTACTGGGCCATTTCCAGGCCCTTCCGCTACCAGCGCAAGATGACCCAGCGGGTGGCCTTGGTCATGGTGGGCCTGGCCTGGGCCCTGTCCATCCTCATCTCCTTCATTCCCGTCCAACTGAACTGGCACCGGGATGCAGCAGGCTCCGAGGGCGGGGTGGACCTTCCCTCCAACCTGGCCAATGTGACGGTCCAGGAGGACCCTGCGGAACCCCAGCCAAGGGCAGCCAACTGTGACTCCAGCCTGAACCGGACATACGCCATCTCCTCCTCGTTCATCAGCTTCTACATCCCGGTGGCCATCATGATCGTGACCTACACGCGCATCTACCGCATCGCGCAGGTGCAGATCCACAGGATTTCGTCACTGGAGAGGGCAGCTGAGCACATGCAGAGCTGCCGGAGCCAAGCGGGCCGCGAGCCTGACACCAGCCTGCGCTCGTCCATCAGGAAGGAGACCAAGGTGCTCAAGACGCTGTCGGTGATCATGGGGGTCTTCGTGTGCTGCTGGCTGCCTTTCTTCATCCTTAACTGCATGGTTCCCTTCTGCCACGGAGACCCTGAGGACCTGCGGGCCGGCTTCCCCTGCGTCAGCGAGACCACTTTTGACGTCTTCGTCTGGTTCGGCTGGACCAACTCCTCGCTTAACCCCATCATCTACGCCTTCAATGCTGACTTCCGGAAGGTGTTTGCCCAGCTGCTGGGGTGCAGCCCCCTCTGCTTGCGCACCCCGGTGGAGACCGTGAACATCAGCAACGAGCTCATCTCCTACAACCAGGACACTGTCTTCCACAAGGAGGCCGTGGCCACCTATGTCCACGTGATCCCCAACGCCGTAGCCCCCAGGGACAGGGAGCTGGAGGAAGAGGAGGGTCCTTTTGATCGCATGTCCCAGTTCTGCCACACGTCCCCAGATGGTGACCCTGCAGCTGAATCTGTCTGGGAACTGGACTGTGAGGGGGAGATTTCATTAGGCAAAATATCACCTCTTACCCCCAAAGGATTGCATTAAACTGTAAGAAAAGCCCTTGTGGATCTGCATAAGTGTGCAGACATTTACAACCAGACACACACGTGCACACACACACACACACACACACATACACTCACTCACCCACTGGCAGTGCTGCTCATTTATCAGTGTCTCTGTGCCTCTGTGAAGTCACCATGTGCTGAGTGTCCTCCCCACCCTGTAGATTCCTGGGTGTAAGAGTTGGCAGGAACAGTTAGAGTCAACTCACATACAACACCCCCTGCCAGCCAGGCAGAGATGGCCCGGGCCTGTCAGAGAAGAGAAGGTGGAGCTTGGCCCTTAACACTCACTCTGTTGCTTTTCCTTTCGAACAGACGGCTTGGCTTGCTCGTGTGACTGGCTTGTGTTTGGGTCGATTTTCCAACAGCCCGTTCAGTGCTGCCTGTGGAGGCCGAGTGGGGTGGGGCGCTCCCCTTGCCCTGCAGCGGCTGCTCTCGTCAGGAAGCCTGCCCCACCCAGTGTGAGGTAACACCGTGTGTGTGTGTGTGTGTGTGTGTGTGTGTGTGTGTGCGCGCGTGTGGCTGGTGGGGTGATTGTTCTTGCTTTCCTGGTGGGTTTTCAGGGCTTTTCCTGGAGAGGCCGAGTGCGTGCTCAAAGGCAAGGAAGAAGATATTCCTTTATTTTCTTTCCAGGCAGTTTGGCCTTAAAGGAACATAGCAGGGCTTGAAAAGCTTCTGGCTTCTCGGTTTCCTTTTGCTAGATGTGTACAGCTGCACTGTTCTTGGAAAGCCAGTTTCCTGGTCACGGCAGCCTGGTCTGTTCTTTTTCTGTCTTGGAAACTTCCTTTTATGATAACGTAAGACAGTTCTCAAGATTCCTGGGTGGATGCTGTCCATCACTGTAAAGATCACTTCCTATGACAGTATCTTTTTCCAGCTCAGATCTAGAGCCCTGTGACATGACCTGGCTTTAGTGTGTTTTCTGAAGAGCTTTGACGTGTGTGAGTTAATAAGCTTGCAGAAAGAACCTCATTTTCAAACAAGCATTTTTAGTTGCACACGATTAGCAAAGAGGCTTTCAGATTTTAACTGAAACGTCGAAACCAGAAATGACATTTCAATGACTGGCAGTTGGAAAATCTACAGGTGGGATTGCTCAACAAGAGAGCCCTCCTCCCCCAGCCCTGATGGGCTCAGCGGAGGGCACTTTGTCCCAGTGTAATTTTAGTCGAGAACACAGGACCAGAAGAATTAAGTGCCAAAGCTGTTAATGAAAGCGTCCGTGTGTCTGTAAGTTCTTATATATCTCTGCTCTCTGAAAATGTCATAGCAAGGACAGTTAAATCAGCTTTGGTCTCTCTCGGGGTAATTTTATGGTCAGCCTCTTGTACAGTTTCGTCTCGTTCATCGTACATGTGTAGTGCCTGGCACAGAATGCTTAATAAATATTTGTTGAATGAATAACTATTTTTGGAACAGTGAGATTGAAAGCAAATTCTGTTTGGCATATGTTTTTATATGTGATTTTGTCAGAGTAATTTGGAATCCAAGGTGTGTGTGCAGTCTTTGACTTGTATGTCAGCAACTACATACGGTTAGGACATTACGCAGTGAGATGTCACTACATTGGGGTTCAGGGGCTATGTGACCTTGTGTGGTCTGTTATCCTGTCTGAGTCTTATGTTCTGTCTGCCTTTGTAAACTGAGGGGCTTGTACGTGATCCCTGTTTATCCAGGTGTGCTGTGTGATGCCAATGTGAATGGGTAGGGTCTCTGGTGAACTGCATTCAGCAACCCAGGTTCAATTCCTGGTTTCAGGGCTTCTTGGAGCCTTCCCTCAGCATCATGACCCTGCCCCTGCAAGGCAGGTTGCATTTCCCAGGTCTTTGGCCTTGTGAGTCCTCAGTGAGGATTCCTGTCACTCTTTTCTGGAGCCCCCGGTTCTAGGGGGCATAGTCTGAGAAACTTGGATGTGGAGCTATTTTATTCTGAAGGGCACTTGTTATATGCAAAACCTCTGTGGATGTGTGGGTGTGTGTGTGTGGGGGGGCACATGTTGGTTTAGGCCCCAGTTTAAATAGTGGAGAAAACTCTGAGGACCTTGGGATTCCCTGCTGTAAAATATCACTCATTATCAGGAATCCTGCTGAGAGTCCTGATTGTCTGTCTTAGGTGTATGATGAGAAAAATGAAAAACAGAGAGGAGTTTAGCAATACACGAATGGCTGGAAGTCAGTGTCCCCGAGGGGTCCTCCTCACACTGCAAAACAGCCAGGCGTGTACAGTGTAGGTTAGGCTAGAGAATGATCCTAATTCTGCAAAGGCTCAGACCCAAGAGGGTGTAGGTGAGTTTGTGCTTAAAAGAGTCAACGGGAAATCTGAGACAGATGGTGCCAAGAATCCAGACCTCCATTTTACCCCTTAGGGAAATAGGCAAAATTAGCCATTGTGGATGTGTGGTCTCTAACAACTCATTGCTGTGACATGATTGACATCTCCTGAGTGCTGGCCACTGCCCCAGACGCTGGGAATATCCTCACTCATTGAATCCCGGACGGACTGGAGCCTGTTCAGCGGGGATGAAACGGGACACACTGCCCTCAGGTGCTGCCCTGTGCTGAGTATTGTAGTGATATGGTTTATTCGGGAGTGGGTATTGGTGGGCTGCTCCCTGAAACAGCAGGGAAGGGGTGAAACTGCAGTTTTACTTAGGGTGGTCAGGGGAGCCTTCTCACAGGAGGAAGCAGGAAGAAAGATCTTGCTGAAGCAAGGGCTGGAGCAATGGCAATATCGAGGAGGGGGAGTGGCCCAGGCAGAGGCAAATGCAGGGGAGAAATTTAGAAATGGGGCAGTGCTTTGCACACCCAGGGAGGAAGAGGGTGCCAGGGTGTCTGAGTCCAGGAGAGACAGGGATTGTGCTGAGGGCAGTGTCAGCAATGACAGTGGCACTGCAGACGCAAGGTCACAGTAAGGATTTCTCTGGAGCAGTGTCCCACACATGCTTTGGGACATTTGACCAAGAGGCAGGTCTCTTTATCACCCCGTTTGAGAGACGAGGAAATGAGGCCTACCTAATACCTAACCTGCAGTCACACAGCTACTGACTGCTCAAGCTGGACTCAAACCAGGCAGCCCCACCATGGGGTCTGGGTCTTAACTGCTTTTTGCTGAGGAGAGATGCAGCTAGGACATCTGCCCCAATCAGCAAATGCTCTCATGTATGGATCAGGATGTTGGGTTCTTTGTTAGCTAACTGACTAGTCGATCCATTCCTAGGTCCACAATGGTCTTGCACTGTGTACCTGCTCTATGCTTGGAGGGAAAGCAGTCCAAGGTCCTGCACAGCCACCCGTGGGTTAAGGCCATGGGCTACATGGATGGGTCATATGCTTTCCAGGCTTCTTATCTGAACTTCCCATTAACCTCACCTATTATTGTTTCCCATTTTATGGAGGAGGACACTGAGGCACAGGGTGGTTAGGTTTTACCCAAAGGCATATGATAATCACCTGGCAGAGCCAGGGTTTACATTTAAGCTACGGGTTCTTAACTGAAGGCAGTTTTGTACCCCACCCCTGGTGACATTTGGTCACATCTGGAAATACGTTTTGATTTTCAGATTTTGGAGAGGGGTGCTCCTGCCATCTCATGAGGCCAGGAATTCTGCTAAACATCTTGGGGTACACAGAGAATGATCTGGCCGCAGATGCCCGGGGCCAGTTCTGACCAAGGCAGAGGGACCCCCATTCCTCACTTGACAGAGTAGGAAGGAGGCTCAGAGGTGTTTGACAGTTTGGGCAGGGGTGATGTGGGTGTGAAGGGAGTCACTGCCCCTGCGAACCTCTCTTTTGGGTCTTACAGGATCCCTTGGAGAGACCCAGGCAGAGGTGAACTCTTTCCTGTGTGTTCTCGTGGGTTCTGTCCAGGCTAACCATCCTGAGGGCCCTTCTCCTGGGCTCACCTGATGGCTCTGTCACAATGGGTGATTGGACCTCAGCTGTATCAGCTCCAGATGGAGGGGTTCCACCTCCATGCCCTGACAGCTTCTGGAATTGGAAAAGCACGCCCTCCTTGGCCTGTATGAGACAGCAGGTGTGTCTCAGTTCACATGCTGACTTGGCTTCTTTGCTAGTGGCTGCCAGGGATCTTCTGATGAGAAAACCCCAAGACTGAATTCCAGCCAATGGTGATGAGGGGCTGGTGGATGAATATGGACACAGTGTGTGTGTGTGTGTGTGTGTGTGTGTGTGTGTGTGTGTGTGCGCCCATGTGTATGCACACACTGGCATAAAGTATGCTCTGAGTAATTGATGTTTGAGGTCAACCAGTTGTCCCTAAGGCCTGCTTGCCCTTTTGAGCCACCTGAAGATTAAAATATTAAACTGATAAGAACAGATATGACACTTGATCTTAGCCAAAAGGCCGAGAAGCAATGAAGATTAAAATATCAGTGTCCGGGCCTTACTCTGATTCAGTTGAACCCTAATTTCTGATAGGGTCTAAGCTATTTCAAAACTGTTTTTGTGTGTAAGGCTGTACCTAGGAAACACCATTGGACTACTCTGGTTATTAGGAGTGTTTTGGGTTTATGGACCTCAGTCCATCTTGATATCTGTGCTTTGGCTACAACAATAAAGTGGCCTCTAATTAGCAATGACTGTGTCTAGCAACTCCCTGGGTCTTTTGTTACTTTGAGTTATTCTTACACATCCTGCCACATACACAACTTTGAATAGCCTGCTGGTGGTTGGTGATTTAAAACAGTGGGCTGGAACGTTTTCCCTGATAGAGAACCTCAGGGTCCTTTTACTCCAGAGGAAATAATTCAGTGTACCAGGCTGCAAAAGTTTGCCTCTCATTCTCAGATTTCTCTTGGTGACATGGGAATACAAGAAGGAGAAGTAAAAATGATGGCAACACAATGTGTGTGTGCATTAGTTCCCTAAGATGAGTGTAATTATTTTTACCGTAAACATATACTAATAAAAAGAATCTAAAGAGAAAAGATAAAATAGAAATGCAAAGAAAATGAGGAATATATAACAAGTGTCTAATGAATATTTGTTGGGTGAAGAGATTGGTAAAACACCAAATCAGAGTACTGTTAAAAATCTGGAAAAAAAAAAAAGAGTGAAGGATCTAGCAGGTGTCTTTCTGGGCACACCATTGCGTGCTGTGTGGTCAGGAGGGACACATGCCTCTGGTCACGGGCTCCCGGCTGGCGAGGACTGCAGTCTAGCAGCTGTGCATAAGGCATCGCCCCCAAGAAGACTTCAGAAGTCACTGGATCCATTGCCTTTCACTATAGGCTGTGCAAAATGTGGCCAGAGAGACTGAAGCATTGCCCATGTATCCGGCAAGCAGAGGACACGAGAGCTGGCCTCTCAACCTCTGGTTTGTCGCTTCTTCTGTGACACAGTGTGTGCTTGGCGGGTGGTGGGGGGCTCTCTGGGTCTTTGGGAATCATTGTCAGGGAGATCATGGGTACAAACAGAGTTCATTCCCGACTGTTCTTTCCACACAAAAGGAGCTGATGGCGTCCACGCTTTTCCCTCTAGCACACCCTGCTCACACAGAGCGATGTTTTGTTTCTGAGGATGAGACACCCATGTGCAGGGATTTGAGGGCCCTGGTTAATTCTCCACTGAAAGAAGTGTGGAGGATGATAACATACAAGGAACAAGTGGTGGCTGACGGGGCAAAGCGGCATTTCAAAGGTCTGTTTACTGTTTGTCTTTTGAATTTCATGAAAGGCAGCAGGCACTTCTGGACAAAGTAGCAGGAAGCCAGTTAAAAAGAAAAGCTCAGGCGAGAAGAGGGTGTTAAAATGGCTTGAAAACAAAAAAAGCACTAGGCTTTATCACTGCGAGCTCCTCCTGTGGAGTGAGAAGCTGTTAAGGCGAAATCTGTCTGTCCTTCCACACATTCTGGTGAAACGACTCGGACATTTCAAGCCATGGAGATGGAACGTGAGACTGGAAAGCGAAGGACTTTGGTTCAAGGCCACTATGTGGAATTCTGAGTGTGTGATTGGCCATAGGAGTAGGAATAGAATGTGCAGGGTCAAAATAACTGATAAAAAATGTGGGTGTTTACTTAAGCTTAAGTGTCTGGAGAGAGGTGAGCACAGTGCATGTGAGGGGGACTCACCATGCTCGCTGTCACCTGTATAATAACAGGCCCAGGCCATACAGCCCCTTGTGGTTTCATGAACTATGCTGTGTCGCAGCTGAGAGTTCCTTGTAATAGAAGTAAGGGAAGAGGATTGGGGGCTTGAAATGTGACTCAGATACTTATCAGCTATTCTAGTCTGGGTAAATCTCTCTGCTCTCTTTATTTTCATGTCTGAAAAATAATAATCCCTATTTTACTAGTTATGGGCTACATTTCTTGATACTCAGTACCTATACCATAGATTATATCTTTAGGAGTTAATCAATTATCTGGAGAGTAGCACTCTATGA